ACCAGCTCAAACCAGCATCCCAGCTTCAAAACATACCTAACCAGCATATGCTGGTTTTTTCAACAGTATAATAAGAAAAAAGTATTAAACCAAATGTTCTCATTATACATAACAACTTATGTGTGCTGAAATAGTAGTATGAAAGAATACAAACTGTCCTAAAATAAGTTTATACAAGGTATAATTAGGTAGCTAGCCTACCTATAATTATAACATTTTGTGGGTGGATTATTTAGCAAGCTTATTTATGTTTGTTTGTGTTTTACTTAATGCACATGAACCAGAGGAAGAAGAAGAAGATTCAGGCTTTCTTTTTAATATTATTAACTCATCATTGTCTTTAGGTCACGTCCCAAAACCGGTTCCTTGCCGCTGTCGCCTCTGGCTTGCTTAGTTGGGGACACTTCATTTCCAGCGATACCGTTGACTTGATTGCAAAGATACTATTTAAACTGAGCTGGATGTTGAAATCACTGAATTCAATGATGAACTGTCTTTAACTGAAAAATTTGTGTTTACTATTGTCATTTTGCATTATTGACACTATTTTCCTAATTAATGCTGTTCAGTTGCTTTGACACAATCTGTATTGTTAAAAGCGCTATATAAATAAAGGTGACTTGACTTGACTTGACTTTCTCATTTTAACACCTTAGGGAGCTTTTGGGTCACTATTGCCATTGGCTAGCTCACTTGGGTTTTTAGACTTTCTAAAGCTAATTTCTGAAAATATGTAGAGTAAAAAGAGCTATATCAAGAGTCTGATGACTTATAGAAATTCTGTCACATTTGCTGATATGCTGTATAAAGTGATATATATAGAAATATTTATACAGCACTTTAAATAATTTCATGCACGCCCATCAGAGTTTCCCATTCTGACCACCTTTATGATGGGGTTCTATGAGTTCATGTGATAGACTTCTATTAGTCAACTAGATGTTCAAAGAAATCACCACAACACAACTTTATTCTTAGAGAACAAATATTTATGTATTAATTTTTTTACCAAACTTAATAAAGTCTTGAGAAAAAAAAAAAGAACAGGAATAGGATTGGCAAGGCCTTATATAAAATCATAAATATTTTCCAATTTTTTTTAAAAACATGACCTCAGGCTTTAGCAACAGTTCAATATGAAAACAAAAACACTACATATCAAGTATAATAACATTGAAATATAACAAAAATGTCATAACTGACAAGTTACACTGTAACTATAAGGCAGTGCCAGATATTATTGAAGATTATGAAGCTTGTTTTGTCATGATGTAACTAACAGTACTATGAACTATATGATAATATGACAACCAAATGGAAAAATAGTTGTTGGAACAATACAGTAGCTGAGATTTGGGTTCTATGTAAATGTGGAAAAAAAAGGTTATAATGGAAAAATGTGTGTGGTCTTACATCTGTGTATTATTCAGCCTTGTTCACTAACATATTAGTGTTTTACTCTGAATAATGATTGCTTTTATTTAGGGCACTTGGTATTACAGGGATCTCCTGACTGGAAAAGTCTATAAACACTAACCAAAGGGAACATAGACAGGGCACCTAACATAGAGCCCAGCTGCACCACAGCTCCACACCACACGAGGGCGCTGTGGCCTTCATCTCGCAGGATCACTCCAATAATCACTTTCACATAGGACAAAGTCAGGACAAATATGACCCAGGTTATGACCTAAAGATAAAGGGAGAAAGAGAAAACAGAGATTATGTGAGTTTTTTTGCCCTCACAAACATTTTTAAAATAACCATTTTGAACAGCATTTTAAAGATCTAAAGAACCTTTTTCCACTATAAAGAACCTTTTGTGCAGTGTAAACATTCCATGGAACGTTAACGGTTCTTCATGGAACCACTTACGCCAAAAAAAGAACCTTAAATATTAAGAATGTAAATTCTAGTGCCAGTAAATTTACTTTACTTATGCTTGTAAAATATTGAACAACTAAGACCAATGGAAAGCATGTGTGTGAGTCTTACGATGAGTGCTGCTCCTAGGTCATGATTGATCAGCAGAGGGCAAGGGCTTAGTGCTGCCATGGCCATTATATATGCTCCAAACCCTGTGCCGGTCACTGTCAGAACCCCCATCAGCACCAGAGACCTTCGGCATGATTAAAGAAAGCATGTCAGCCAATCAAATGCAATTCAGACATGGAATAGTTGCATGAATTTAGCACATCATTGTTCTCACCTTATTGGCACAAACATGGCAATGAAGCAAGCAACTGGATTGGCTACTGAAGACAAAGTGGCTGCAAGATGATAGGCCTGATTTCCATACGGCAAACAGGAGTAAGCTTGGACCGAGGGCAGGACTGCATTGGTCAGTGCATTTACCCAGGCCAGAACTACAAATATGAAGACCAGCTCCATTGTGCTGTAGGTTCCTTTTCCAAATGAACTGTGTTGCTTTATCACCGGGCCTTCTGAGAAATCCAACATGTGCCTTTTTTCTGGAGTTTCATTATTTGGGGCCTGGCTTGTATCAATCTTCTCCACCCGCTGAGAATCATCAGTATAACCTTTGCTCTTGTGTTCCCGCGCCACAGCTGGGTGGAAGTTGAGTAACAAGAAAGCACCCATGCACACCATCATCATCGCACTGAGGAACAGGAAGAAACCCTGAGCGGAGAAGTTGGCCGGTTGATAGTGTGCTTGCAGTTCTCCATCGAAGCCCCAGGATGAGTTCCCCATGCTAAAGTTCACATTAACACTGGCATTTTTGCAGTGGACCACCCCTACGCCTTGGATAAGAGCCACCAGCGCTGGGACCAGGCCGCTTAGACCCTCTCCAATGAAGTAGGTGGTGAGGTACCGAGGCTGTAGACGCATCATGAAGGGTAGAAATGTGACGGATGAGGTGCAGTCGACCACAGACAGCAGGAAGCTGAGGGACAGTAGGGCAGCACTGTGTTCGCCTCCTCCTAAAGTTAGTGTGCGGTTCCAGAGGAACGCCAGGAGGAAGGTGGCCACCACACCAACCGTTACGATCATGTAGATAACAGGCCGCTCGTCCAACACGCCCGGTCTGAAGCGGTGCATGAGCATGATGAAGAGAGGCCCGATGTTGGCCATCTGGATAATGATTGTGAGGTAGGAGGGCAGGTACCAACCCTCAGGAATGGAGGGGACGATCAGAGGTAGCTCCACCCACATCCCGTTAATGGCCACCCATGATCCGATGCCAAAGAGGCAGGCCAACACGTGTGTGAACAGCGACATGATGAAGGCACTGAGGTCCACACGTCAACAAGGCAACTGGTTTTTATAGGTTATCTGAAAGATGGAAGTACAGGGAAACTAATTAGTTTTACAATAGCCTTTCAATTTCTTTGACTTTTAAAGTGCTGTTTTGCTGTCAGAAAGCTTAAATACATTTGATAAACTGAAACAGTACCAATACTACTTTAACATTGTGCTGTGCATAACAGAAAAGAGAATATTCGAGAACAGAAGCTGAGAAGCTCAGATTTCATGATGCCACGATGCCAGTCTCAGCCTCAGACGTCACGCCCACAGAACGTTGGCTGAACGTCTGATGCATATCGCACACAAAATTGGAAACACTTGAGGAGTTTCGAAGTCATGAATCGGATTGGTTGAATCATACAGGATTTCCGGAAGATGTGTGTGTCACGTTCTTTAACGTTCCATCTGGAAACAAAGATGCCGTGATGCCCTCA